GTAAAGTCCGTTGTATGTTAATTTATGTAGATTATCTTCATTCCTATGTTTTTATGCATTTTCAGGTCCATTTGCCAAAAAAAGGAGCAAAATCAAGGCTTTGTGGAGTTTTGGCCATCAAAAGGCACAATTCTGAATTTCTGGCAGCAGTGGAGTCAGGACTTTGCTCACCATTTTGACCTTGCAAACTCAAGAACTGGACTTCCATTATAAAATGGCATATTTAGAGCTCTGAATCAGCTTTCCAAATCTTCAAGAAGTTCGTCATTCGGAGCTCGGACCAGAGAGTTATGGCCTTGTTACCAGAGGTGCGCAGAACTGCCTGGCAGCAATGAAATTCTGCCTTGATCTTCATTTTCGACCAATCATCCTTGAGAATTGGATCTCCACCAAAACATGAAGTTTTTAGAGCTCTGAATTAGCTTTCCAAATCTTCAAACGGTTCATCATTTGGAGTTTAGAGCACAAAGTTATGGCCGTTTTACCAAAGTAGGTCCGGGATGAGCAAACCAAGCATAGGGCATTCTGGCCAATTTTCGAGTGCTCGAGGCCTAATTTCGAGTGCTCGAAATTAGGGCAGATTGCTTCACGAGATCAGCAGTGGAGTTAGGACTTTGCTCGCCATTTTGACCCAGAAAGCTCGAGAACTGGACTTCCATCATAACATGAAAGATTTAGAACTCTGAATTAGCTTTCTAAATCTTCAAACGGTTCATCATTCGGAGCTCGGAACAGAGAGTTATGGCCTTGTTACCAGAGGTGCGCAGAACTGCCTGGCAGCACTAAAGTACTGCCTTTCTCCCCATTTTCGACCAACCAGACTTGAGATTTGGGTCTTCATCAAAACATGAAGTTTTTAAAGCTCTGAATCAGCTCTCCAAATCTTTAAACGGTTCGTCATTCGGAGTTTGGAGCGCAAAGTTATGGCTGTTTAACCAAAGTAGGTCTGGGCGGAGCAAGTGAAGCATGGGCATTTTTACACTAAATTCGAGCGCTCGAGGCCTTGCTTAGAGTGCTCGAATTTGGGGCAGAATTGCCTTCGGGAATTCTCATTTTGGCAGCCACTTGTGCATTGGTTTCCTCATTTTCTACTTACTTCTTTATGAGGTGGTTGGGGATGTTTTTTGGAGGAGAGAGAGAGCTTTGTTGAAGGAGATAAGGCAAGGAAGGCCACACATATCATTATCCTATATTCTACAAGATAGAGGAGAGAGAAGAGAGCAAGAAGAAGATGGTTCTTGGAGCAAAAGGAAGGGAGCTCGAAAATGGAGGAAAAGGGCAAGCTTCTTCCTTCTTCTAGCTCACTCATGGGTAACTAAACCTCATCTAGGGAGGTGATGAAGCCTCCCCTTTTGTTCATGTTCTAGATTAGGTTCTATTTTGGGGATTATAATGTATAAACTTTGGTCTTTTCATAGTTTAAGAGCTTATTACTTCTTGTAATGAATATTCATGTTTAAATGATTGATGTGAGTTATTTAGCTTGTCTTGATGATTCTTACATTAGTCTTATTGCTTTTATTTTCATAGTGACAATGAAGATATTAACTATGAATGGTTTTCAAGGCATGTTGATTTTGAAACTTGATATTCCATTGCTTAGGTACCTCCTTTGATGGATTATGCTTGATTCTTACCTTCATGTGCTTCATCATTTGATTGAATGCTTGATGGTCTTTTGCTTAAGTTAATGTATTTGATACTACACCCTAGTCTAGGTAGTCCAAATGTGTTGTCTTTTGATAGACCATTCTTGTTTTAATCTCATGAACTTCTTATTGGTTATGAAGCAACTATGTGTTGCTACATAATTCTTGATCATTGCTTATATAGTGTTTATCCCCAATTTAGTCTTGATTTAGCATGTATTTAGGGCGTAGGTGGATTCACTTCTCTAGTTTCCCCTTTTATTATCTCTAACTCTCATTTACTAACACTATTATTTTATGCACTTTGAATTCCTAGTTTAGTGACCATAAAACAAACCCTCTATGAACACCCCTTATCACTCTAAAATGACTTTAGACACTTAGGTTGCCTTAAGACTAGCGCAGTCCCAGTGGTTCGACTTACCCGACCAATAACCCTATTTTACAATGATTCGTGCTATTGCGAAGGTTGATGTATAGTTGATCAACCGATCACTAGGCGCTGGCCTCTTCTTATCTGACCTTTTATCTTCACCATTTTTGTTTTTTCGTGCATTCAAAGCATCGTCAGCGTTCATGTGCTTCCGCGCTCTAACCATCAACTCTGTCATGCTTGTAGGGGCTTCCTTTGATAAGGAAAATAGGAACTTAGAAGTCTGTAGTCCTCCCATAAAGGCTGTGAGGGCAACCTTGTCGTCCACCTCTTCAACTTGCAGCATTTCAGTGTTAAAACGACTTATGTAATCACGAAGGGACTCTCCCTTTTGCTGCTTCACATTAAGTAAATGTGTTGCTGGTCTCCTATGCTTCTGCCCAGCGATGAAGTGTCCTATGAATTGTTTGCTCAACTCTTCAAAGTTTTCAATGGAGCCTGGCTTTAATTTATTGAACCAGAGACGAGCCCAACCCTTGAGTGTGGTAGGGAAAGCCCTGCACATAATCTCGTCTGGTACGGCTTGCAAATACATAAGAGCTTTGTAGGTCTCCAAATGGTCGAGAGGGTCCCACGTCCCATCGAAGTTCGAAGAGTTGGCATCTTGAATTTGCTAGGTAGAGGACAACTCATAACAGCTGGGCTAAAAGCTAGGTTAGTCTTTTGTACCATATCGTTCACTGCAGCCTGGCCCTTCCCTTTTATCGCTTGCATGACATCGTCAACCTTGGCTTTCAGATCCTGTAACTCTAGATCGAACTGAGTGGCGTCCTCAGTCTTGTCTCCAACATAACTAGAAGTATCTCCACGGAGCCTGGTGGTATTCCGTTCAGGGGACCGATGGTGATGGCTCCTCTGTTGACCCCCTATTTGACTAAGCTCAACATCGTTAACGACAGAAAAAAGGATTGATCAAATTCTATTGAGTCTGACTCATAGTGATCATTTATCAATATCAAAGAATGACTCTGGTTATCAAATGATTGAACAACCGGGAGCAATTTACTTACGATACTTCCGCAAACATCCTGATAATCTACATTTGGTTTAGTTAAGTAGCTTTGAAGTGCCAAAGAATTCGAAATTTATGTTCGATCAAACAACTAACCTTCGGCTTAGGCAGGGGTCTAACCAAAGAGAATGCATGGGATGGAAGGTGTACTGAACTTGGTAAATAAGTGAAGACTGGATGCCCCTAAGAAAGAGGATCAATTAACTGACTCTTAGCTTGACTTTACTGTTGGCCTAAAAGGAATAATAATTGATGAACAGAGGATTTAGAATAGAACCTCACAATGGGGGAGCTCTCTTTCTAGATGATAATATGAGAATAGGATTTTAGAGAAAAAGTAGAGGATGCTGAACAAGAACAAGTTTTGTTAAAACTTCTTGGTTGACCTCTCATCAAAAAGTATTCAGCCTGGGGAGATTGCCGAACTGCAACGAGGCGGCCTTAGGTAGTTAGAAAGATTTTCGGTTCGGCTTCTTATTAGGGCAGATCGGGAGAGTCTGCCAAGCTATTTTAGATTCTCGGAACATGGCATGGTTGAAGGCAATCTCCCTAAAGTGCTTGATCAGGTCAATGGCACTTCTCGGAATACATAACATAGAAATCACACTTGGAAAGGGTGGACAATTAGCTAGAGCAGCGGGTGCTGTAGCGAAACTGATTGCAAAAGAAGGGAAATCGGCCACATTAAAATTACCTTCTGGGGAGGTCCGTTTGATATCCAAAAACTGATCGTTGGGTACTTCACTGTTTCTCTCCTCGTTGGGGGCGGCTAAGCGTTGCAGAATCATCGCATTTTGCTGGACTAACTGGTTCACCAGTTGTTCCAATGCTGCGACGCGTTCCTGATCATTTGGGACGACAGGGGGTTGCCCCGTTGAAGTCCCTGCATCAGAAGCCTGCAACCCTTCGCCCTCGCCAGCAGCCAGACCAGATCGCAATAGAACCATGCTTTGTTTAGAGAACAAAAATAAGTTCCCACAGACGGTGCCAGCTGTTGATGATGGATTTTGCGCAACTTGGATCTGATCTGACTTCCTGAATAAAGAGAAGAAAAAGTGATCCTACGAACACCGGTGTGTTACCGGTGGAGTAGGCTCCGACGAACAAGTCAGTGTGAATGATAATTCCCCTGGAGAAATCGAGAAATTGAGTTAGGGTTTATTGAGTACCTCAAAACGTTGATTCCCCCGCCTTTTTTGTAGGGCTTAGGTTAAGATGTCACGTAGAATTACTTTATTGTAATCTGTAGACTTAATCCTCATCGTAATCTTTAATCCTTACCACAATCTTTAATCCTTATCGTAATCTGTAAAGCCTATCTCAATCTGTAATCCTTATCGTAATCTGTAGAGCCTATCTCAATAGTGCGTTAATTTAGTAATCTTCCCTTAATTATGGATATTTAAATTATACATCCATCAAAATGAATTTGTTTTATTGATTTCATGTTAATTTCAGTTGGGTTTTACCTTTCTTCAACTTTTCTTTTTCTTTGCACATAATCTTGATTTTTTGCACCGATAATCATTGAGGTTTGATGTTTAAATATGTCTATCTTCTTATTTTTTTAGCTTTATTTCGGTTGTTTTACCATTTTTGGTCTGGGGTTTGAGATAGCCTTTTGCCCTTCAATTGTTCTTTTTCTTTATGTATGCTTCTGTTTTTTATAGTATCTGTATTCAAGAAGGATTTTTGCCTTTATTCTGTTTGTTTCTGTATATAATTCTTTATTTGAAATGCGTTCCTGTAACAATAGATTGTTTGGGCATTAAATTGCTATTGTTCTTAGGTTTTGAATTCAGATATGGGTATTGAGTTGTTCTTGATTATTTGGGCTGCGTTCTTTATTTGCCTCTGGTATTGATTGAACTGTTGTTTAAGTTTGTGGTTTTTATTTACGTTTCAGGGTTGTGATGCTTCAGTTCTATTAGATGATAGCAATGGGAATAAGAATCATTCGATAGAAAAGAAAGCAATTCCAAACATGACACTTAAAGGCTTTAATTATGTAAATACCATCAAAAACGACTTGGAAAAAGTTTGTCCAGGCATCGTTTCTTGTGCTGACACTCTAGTTCTGGCTACTAGAGATGGTGTTGTTATGGTACTATCCTTAATCTTTTATTTTTTCTTTATTTCTTTATTCCCTTTGTATGATAATTATGGGATTTTATAAAGTATATAACCACTTCTGAAATGAATCACACTGTTTTTGTTTCAGCTTTATTTGTTCTTTAATGAAGTTTTTTGTTTCCTTTACATACATTTGCTGTTTTGTAATGTCTATTATTACTCTAAATATTATTTCTAATGTCCAGCTATTTTGCTTGTTTAGTTCTCTGATTTCGACCTTTTGATTTTCTACTTAATTATATTCTCTGTTATTAAGTTCTGATTCCTGCCAACTTTTTCTTGGAAATTATAGGCAGGGGGTCTATACTATCCGGTGTTGATGGGTAGGAGAGACAGTGAGCGGTCCTACTTTGCAACGGCCATGGCCGAAATTCCAAGGCCTGATGGGAATATCGCAGAAACGCTTCGGTTGTTTGCCCTGAGAGGATTTAGTGAAAGGGAAACTGTTGCACTTCTAGGTATTTACTAGGACTTTATGGTTTTCAAATTCTTTAAGTGTATTCTCTTAAGCAAAATGATTCATAGTTGAATTGGTTCTTTTGTTTGTTAAAGGTTCCCACAACATCGGCAAAATTGGCTGTCAATTCATTCAACCTAGATTGAATGACTTCTTGGGGACTGGACAAGCAGATCCTTCCATTGCCTCTGATTACATTAGTGTTAGGAGATCTAAATGTGAACACAGTAACAGCAGTGCCAGGAATGGTGCTCCTTCGCCCAATAAATCAAGGGCTATGAGTGAGTTGACCGGGGGAGCTTTGAGTTTCTATCAAGAGCTGTTATCTTCTATCCGTTCTGTATCAGGGTTCGGTTCTCATTATTACCAGAGTTTGCTTAGAGGGAGAGGACTCCTCTTTGCAGACCAGCAACTTATGGCAAACGAGAAGACAGCTGAAGTTGTTAGAGACTATGCTTCTGATGCAACCATATTTAGGATGGATTTTGCCAGGGCCATGGTGAAGTTGTCGAACCTCGGATTGCTTACTGAATCCCAAGGACAGGTCCGACTCCACTGCTCTTTGCCTGTACTTTCTAAGAAGCAGAAGCTACCAATATAAACACTATATATTGGTGGCTATTTAGTATGCTGCAGATATACTCCTCTCTCTCTCTCTCGATGTCATATAACCTGTAAATGCTATTTTCATGCCTATCCTCCTCTATACTCATGTAGGTTGCCATTTAGCACTGTACTTGTCGATTATTGATGGATGTTTGGTCAAAGAATATGAGTGGCTAATCAAGAGAAGTAGAGAATTACTGGTTTCTTTCTGTGTCTTTCTTACGCACACAATCACATCTTTTTCTTCACATGTTGGTTGCCATTTAGTACTGTACTTGTGGATTATTAATGGATGTTTTGCCATTTAGTAATTGTGGATTATTGATGGATGTTTGGTCAAAGAATATGAGTGGCTAATCAAGATTAGTAGAGAATTACTGGTTTCTTTCTGTATCTTTCTTACACACACAATCACATCTTTTTCTTCACATGTGTGTGTTTTGGTCTGTTTGTATGATGTTGTAATGTGTTTCCTATTTGTTTTATGTTTGCATGTAGATGATATATAATGTCTACATTATATTGAATACACTGATGGAATCTGTAGACTATAGCTATGAATTATCCCTTACTGGTCAGCGTATAATATTAATTGGTCATGAATACATGCCCTTTGTTTAGGCTGAGAATTTGGAATTTGGGGGTTTTATAGTTTTTACCCAAGACTAAGAAGGTTTTCATGATAAAAATTCTGTATATGAATTGATTACACTGATGTTTGGTGGAGTACCTTTTGCTAGAACATTAGTACATAACTTAGTGTTCCATACAATATATGCGTAGAGCTTCTCTGTGGCCTCACACACATCTATCTATCTGTACTCCTACTTCCTCCTTTCTTCTCTGTGGCCTCACACACAACATGCAATTAGCTTAATACCTCATCTAGGCACATATGAAACAAGTACAGTCTCATATGTTTGTTGTGTAATGCAATGTTACAATAGACCAAGTAGTTCTTGTTTCTAAATATAACTCAATAGATCATGTTTTTTCAGTGCTGTTTAGTCCATAGTTCTATTTAAGCCATGTTCTTAACCATCTTAAACCATGTTAATTTTGATCTTCCCCTTCTCATTATTATCCATTTTTGATTTTTTCACTTCAGTACTTGTTGATTCGTAGTGTACATTGCAAAACCAACTAGTTGGTTTTTGTCTCGTTTTGTGCTAATTTTACTGTTCCATGAATGTTTTCATACATAATGCCGTCTTTATTTATTTAGTTAAAACTCCCCTTTTTGAAATTATATATGTTCATAAAATGTGGAAGAAATGCTGGTTTTTTTTTTTTTTTTTAACATCCAAGAACCTTTGATAACCCCTCTTCTTTGCCCCTTCCATTTTTTTATTTTTTATTTTCCTTTTTGGCCCTTGGCAAGTAACACAATTGCACACACTTTTTGGTCACACTTTAGCTCGAAACCCTTTTCATCTTCGAAGTTATATCACTACTTGTTTTACTTCATTTTTCTTTCATTTTTCTATTCTCCTTCTTAGAAGTAAATCTCTGTCCTTAATATGAAGTTCCCTGTTTGACAGATGAAACCTAATGGTCATGCATCTAATGATAAAAATTTGTGAGTCCGATTGAATCACTCAATATACATAGACCCCGACCAAAAATTGCCAATAAGCAATTAATTATCATCTAATGACAATAGTATATATACATCATCATACGAAATATTCAATTGTTACATAACAAAACATCAATTATCACAAAACAAAACAACCTAAGATTTGCACTATACATGACACGTAACACCAAGTGAACCTCAAAACACAATCTTAAATAGTCAATCAGAAGAAAGACATGCATATGTTATGTTCGGAAGTAACAAATCAAAAGTGTATGAAAATGAAACGTTCATTTAATAATTCATTATAATTTGACCATATAATGAATTAACCAATAAATTAAATCCCTTGAGAGAAGAAGCAAGCAAGCATATATAGTTTTATATATATAATAACCCAAATATGCAGAAAAAAATATATATATCATACCAAAGAATATGAGAGGAAGCACTCTTAATTTGATGATGGTGATGGAATAGCCACAATTAAAAAGTGAGAAAGTGAATACCCTCAAGAGATTTAATTTAATTGATATGATTAAGGAAATCCATGAGATCAACCAATAAATTAAATCCTTTGAGAGTCTTTAGTGTCACACTTTTCTTCAATCTTCAATGGTTTCTTCTCTCTCTTGCACGGTTCTACCATATGGATTGGAATCCATTATTTCAAAACAGACGAGGACATATACAACAGCACATGCAATAGCGTAAAACATCATGCCGATTGCTGGTAATGATAAAATCAAAACGAAGAGAGCCATCCATAAGATAAAGATTTAAGTGCAATATATATATATATAGAGAGTAATGATCTCTTGCTCCTTATGGAGTAAGAAAATTTATCTGCACTTTCTATTGAGACCATTAGATCTAATCTAACATTCACTATAAAAACTCACCTATATTCTTTCCTTTTAATACAAAACCAGTATCACTATTTCTAGTTTCCAAATTTAACATTTATCAAACCACTAATTACAACAATAAAAGGTAATTATTCAAAAATATATATATAGAAAACTCTTCACCTCTGAAAATAACGTCTCTTTCAAACAAAGACCTACAAGAGTACTTTCTCTTTCTCCATACAAATTGAATTTGCAAGTTCTCTACCGCCTTTGTCTCCTTGTAATCATAAGTAAATAAAAATGAATCATAATTAAAATTTAATGGATTAAAATATCTTTTTTTATTAATTTTTTTTCTTGTCTCTTGTAATTTTTTGTTTGAGAGAGACGTGATTTCCATAAAAGAAGAGGTTTCAATTTTTTTTGGGAGTAATTACCTTTTATTATTGTAATTAGTGGTATGTAAATATTAAATTTAGAAATTATAAATAGTAACAATGGTTTTATATTAAAAGGAAATGATATAAGTAGGTTTCTATAATAATCGTTAGATTAGATCAAATGATCACTATAGAAAGTGCGGATGAATTTTCTTGCTCCATAGGGAGCAAGAGATCATTACTCTCTATATATATATATATGTGTGTGTGTGTGTGTATTAAATCAAGAGAACGTACAGGGAAATCTCGATGTGCTAGATCATTTGTACATCTTGTTGAATCTTCTGCGGTGGAAATTGGACTACTGGAACTTGTTCAGGACTCGATCTGTGGAACATCAGTTCTAGATTTTTTTTTCATAATTCCCATATATTACTTTCAACATAATTACAAAATAAAAAAATGACAAATCATCATCAAAACCATGGTTGTCAAAATCGCGATTCTAAGTTGTAGAATCGCGCGATTCTACGACTCAGAATTCAAAATCGAGTCAAATCGTAGCAGAATCGTTCAATTAGTAGAATCGGAGGTAGAATTGGTAGAATCGGAGGTAGAATCGTAGAATCGGAGGTAGAATCGTACGATTCTACACGATTCTACCGATTCTACGAAATTGGTTGTTTGGGCCTTTATTTTTGGGCTTTCTTTTATTTTTTGGTTGGTTTCTTCTAGGCTACAAAATAAAAGAGGCCTAGCCCAAGTGTAGTATACAAAGTTAAATATTTATTCTATAAAATATAAATTATTTTTCATTAGTGGCAGAAAAAGAAATATATTTATGTATATATATTAATTATTTTTACCATGCATGTTGATGTTCCATAATATATTTTTGTGTATAATTATAAAAAATTAAAATGATCAATTATATCTCAAGGATGCATACTCGTGACTAACAGGTTTTGGTAAATTTTGGTTTCATTTGACTAATTTTTTTTTGAAGGCTTACCATATATATTAAAAATTAAAAATAATTTAAAAGCTTAAAAAACTTGCCAAATATGCCAACCAATATATAATCTTGTAGTCTAAACTGATAGTATAATGAGATCAAGTTAACGCATGGTTCATATTTTGTTGTGCTAACTTTTGATTAATTTCATACTTGTGACTAATAAGGTCACAAACATCGTAACACTTGGATTGGTGGACAAAAAGATCTTTTTATTTCTTCAGTTTTCAGGAAAAAAAAAAATTTGCATAGAGTTAAAAAAAAAATAGTTTACTTTTGATATGTAATTTTATTTTATAACTTTGGAGATGGATGGGTTAAGATTTGAGATTTGTAAACTTATGTTATTTTGAGCTAAATTCTCTTTTATTTATATTCGGACTTTGAAATATTGTTAGGATTTGAGATTTGTGAATTCATGGATATGTAATATTGTGTGTTTTGGCCTCATTTTTGTTATATTTTACAGATCTTATTGTTTAAGAAGTTAGTTTCAATTATTTTTTCACAATTTGATAGAATCTTACAATTCACGATCTGATTTTACGATTCCGATTCTACGGAGCCCAAAATGATTCTGCGTAGAATCCCAATTTTAACAACCTTGATCAAAACTTGTCAGTCGCTAAATTAATCAAATAAAAAAACAATGAAACAAGAAAAATTAAACAAAACCCATTATAATTAGATTTTAATATGAATACACACTATTAAAACAATCAATCATCAAAATAAACAAATAAATAAATGATGAACGTACGGACGCACCCATCTTCCATACGAGACGATCGAAAAGTTAATAAATAATAATAAAGAAAAGTCTGAATCAATTAATTAAGAGGTTAATTATTTGGTGAGATGAACTGATTAGAAAAAAAAGTGTGAGGTAATACCTTGACATATATGCACGCAAATATAGGAGTATAGTAATTCTTGGAGGGATATATATATATATATATATATATATATATATATATATATATATATATATATAATCTGAACAAACTTAGTGATGGGAAGAAGCAATTACTGTAAATGCCAGAAAAATATCTCTCGATCTCTCTAACATTTTATTACACATTTTTTCTCTCCCCTTTTCCTCTCTCTTCTATGCCTATTTATAGGCAATTACAATTACTTTCAGTTTTTGAGCCTACTTCTTTTTGGGCTTGACTCGATCCGGTGGATTTTCAGTGTTGGGCCTGTGGTATTAGTCTCCAAGCTTGGGCTGGAACTTGCTACCCAACCCGATGCTCTCCTCTTGGGTTAGACCCAGCCCATTCTACCTTCGGTATCCTCAACTGCCCTCATAATTACTCCCTAATAAATTAGGAAGTAATTATTAATGGCTGCGAATCATGACTTTGACGGCTCAAGAAGATCTCTTGGGAAAAAGGCGGTTGGACTTAGAAATGATGCTTTGAGATTCAAAAAACCTATCGCTTTCCTGACGCTTCGGCCTTCGGGCCCACTTTGTCTTTATAAGTCTCAAAGATGCCCCCACATTCTTCTTTACCGTCTCTATCCTACCTTGCTGTTAGTCAAATCTTTGCTTGTCCCTTTTGAATCAAATCAAATCTCTTTCGGTGAACTCTTGCGAAAGCTTTTTTCCCAGCGATCTCGCAGTGCTCCTTGCAGTCTCCAATCTCTGAGGTTAGTTTTGCTTCTATTTCTTCTTTTTGGGGATTTGCTTTACTTTCCCAGTGTTCTTGCTCACTTTCATCATGATAATCGACCTGGATATCCTTCGCATGAAACTTAACCTCCCCAGTGGCGTTCAAATTAGGGTATGTCCCAGAGATGTAGATGTTAGAACCAGTACGGGTCTTCTTCCCGGCGAAGTTCTATTTTCCCATCTTCACCTTAACGCCATTAGGTTCCCTCTGCACCCCTTCTTTAACTATGTTTTTAATAGACTAGGGATTTCCCCTTTGCAGGTAAATCCAAACTTCTTTAGAATCATATCTGTTCTGCTGTTGCTGACCCATGACAGAGGTCTGGATCTTGATCTTATAGATCTTCTCCTCTGAAGAAATATTTTCTGAACAACATTCCTTCCTGTTCAGATTTCCTTACTTTAGATAACTTTCTGCCCTTTCAGTCCTCGGCAATACAATGAGTCAGCTCAAGATCCCATCCTTTGGTAGGAAGAAGGACCCTCCAAGGACCACTGACGCTTCTACTGCAACCTCTTCTCCTGCCTCGGCATTTTCTTCTGCCACTATCTCTGGCACTTCCCCTCCTATCAATCCGACTGTGTTAACTGCCAGCCCGGTCATCAACGTTCTGCCTACCAATCCGAGCACAACTTCTTTAGTCAGCAACCCTCAGAATGCTACCACTGTTGCTGCTCGTGAAAAGGAGAAAAGGAAGAGGCCTCTGCCTGAGGGTACATCTGGTCTAGATGGTATCCCTCCAAGCAGAAGGGTTCGCACCTCTGGGCCTAATGCGCCCGTGTCTCCACCAATCAGGCCCCCTCCACCTTCTGGGTCTGTCATAGCCAATGTTTCTGCCTCTATAATGGCGCCATGGAGTCCTCGGTTCGTCCGAGCGGATAGGACAAGCGTGAAGCGGAGCGAGACAATGTTCAAGGATGGTCCTACCGCCATGGCATATTACAGGAATATGTGAACTCCCAAAGACATTGAAGTGGCCAGAGGCTTGTCTTAAAAGGAAGTGTTCAGCTGTTTCCCCTTGTCTGCCATGGAGGTATCTGTTTCTCTTTTAATCACCAGATCTTTTCATAGTCTTTTCCCTTGATCTCTTCTGACCATGCGATTGATTTAACCAGTATTCATGCATATCTCTACAGACCTTGTTCGGTATGATGGCCATGCAGAAGCAAGTGGAGTTGGGGAATGCCAAGGCTCGTAAGTTTTCTGACGGTCTTGATGTGACCAAGAAGGAGAATGAGATCATCAGCGCCAAAAATACCGAGCTGATGGTTCAGCTTGACAAAGTTGAGAAAGAGAGAGACGCTCTGAAAAAGGAGGCAGACACTCTTCAGGATGAGAATGACGCCCTATAAATTGAGAAGAGTGTCTGGCATACTGAGCATGACTCACTTAGGGCTGAGAAGGGAGAACTTCAGCGCCTACTCAGTGATGAGCAGACCGCTTGAATGGCTTTTGAGAGGAGGGCCTTGGAAGAGCGCGACGCCCTGCTTAACATTATTGGCAAAGTAAATTACGGTATGATGGCTTTTCATGCACGTTTTTCCAGGGTAGGTGCCCTCAGATATGCACAAGGGTTCCGAAAGGGTTACACCGACCGCGTTCCTGCTGAAGGCCAAACCGGTTCTACTCCCGATGAGGTTGACAAGGAGTTGGACATTGATCCCCCAGGAACCTATGTTGATCCAGATTCCATTCCTGCTGAGTATATTTTTGATGAGTGTCAGGAGATCGCTTCTTCCAGGGTCACTCCTACTCCTACCACTGATTAGCCTTTGGACGTGCCTCCTCTGTCCACCTTGGTCCCTTCTGCGACCACCATCGAGGTTGAGACTCAGCAGATCAACTCTGTTATTCAGCTTGATTCCCCTCCTCGTGAGGATGGGGTGACTAATGGTAGCGTGGAGATAAGTCAGCTCAATCAGGAGGGTGATGGAACAGAGGCAGCCAGTTATGGTTCTCCTGTTGCCACAATTTCTTTCTTTTTGTATTCATGTCATCTATATACTTCATGGGTTGTTGTAATACCCCTAATTTTAAAAAGGATATTCTTGGTATTTAATGGTATTTAATTTATTATTTAAGTGCATTTTATTTGATTATGTGTCATTATTTTTTTTTATTAGGTGCTTAATTGTTTTCTTTTGTGGTGATTTAATTTATTTAAATGATATTTATTTTTAGTTATTTGATTGGAATTACTTGTTAGTGTTTTAATTATTTAATTGGCATTAATGGTTTAAGTGTAATTGGTTTAGTTATTTGATTGAAATTACTTGTTAGTGTTTTAATTATTTAATTGGCATTAATGGTTTAAGTGTAATTGGTTTAGTTATTTGATTGAAATTACTTGTTAGTGTTTTAATTATTTAATTGGCATTAATGGTTTAAGTGTAATTGGTTTAATTATTCTATGTGTGTCTTATTTTATGTGTGTCTTATTTGGTTTAATTGGGTTTACTAATTATTATTTTGTTCAATTAGATTATTTGTTAAGTATTTAATGGTGAATAGGGTAATTAGGTAAATACATCTAACTAGGGTTTTAATTACAGTATAAATTAGGGTTTTATATTATAACCGTCGTAGGTTTCTACGTTAATTGGATGGGCCGGTTAGGATTGTGAGTTGGACTTAAATGAACCTAGGGTTTAGGAAAACTCTATAAATATAAGGTAAACGTCTGTGTAGGGTTTTTTTAAACAAAACACACGTTTTGTGGAAGTGGAGAAGGAAAAACGCAGTTTTTCACATTCTGTCAAGGTTTGATCAAAGCTCCGATCTCGCTTCGTCCGTGGTCCGATCGAGCTGAATTTTGGAGGAGAGGTTCATGACTCAGTGATGCACAATCTGAACGTTGGAGATCAGAGTTTGACCTCGGGAACAATGATTCGTACTCGTGAACAGTAACTGGGTCGCACAGGTTTTTTTCCATTCTGCCCAGATTTCATCAAACATCCGATCCCGCTTCGTCCGTGGTTCGATCGAGCTGAAATTTGGAGGATAGGTTCATGACTCAGTGTCGCACAATCTGAATGGTGAAGATTAGATTTTGAGTTCGGGAATAGTGTTTCGTACCCGTGAACAGTAACCGGGTTTTGGAACTCGCCGGGATTTTTTTAAGAAGACGACGTTGAAACTTTGAACAAAAATTTCTGAGGCAAGATTCTATCCTTACTCTTTCCCTTAGGCTTCATACTCTTTGCACTCTTAAATGATTCCAGGATTAATGAAGATTAAACCAAACTAAAATGATATCTGTTTTGCTATGAAACTGGTAGTTACAGTAGTGTTGTATGTTTGTTCAACCTAGACTAAGTATGTTTGTGGATGCATTGTGGTTCTGTGGTTCACGTTTTTCCTTACCACTGCTAGTATAAATTATTGGAAGGATGGGTCTAGATGATAGCTATCTTAACTTCTGTAATAGCAACTGTTGGAACTTAAATACTAGGAGGATTTGAGTTTAACACTAGATCGGTTTTGTGGAACACTATAATTTGAGCATGTCTACATACATACTATGAATATTATTTTGATGCTTACATTATCACAGTTAGTATCAACTGTGGAGGTTAGGATTTTGTGATACATACCCTACATATCTGTATGTCATTTGTAAGGTGTTAAATGGAAGTTTTAATTAATTCTGTCTTTATATCAGACTAAAGGGAACAACTTAAATTGGGCATGTATATGTTGTTGTTGTGACCCTGTTTATCAATACTTATTTTATCACTGCTAACATTGAATGTTGGATGTTGGAATTTAGTTGATATATACTTGATTTATTGGTATTATTGACTACTGGAGGATTAGAAAGTAGGCACCGGTATGGGACGGTGGCATACTAAGGATGGGTTTGGTTTTTAAAACAATACCATTACCCACCTACTTGGAATAAGGATGGGATTAACTAAAAGTTAAGTCCCGTGGATTTGTATTGTCATGGCAACTACTTGTTGAGCGACAATACCAGGGATTTTGGATGGATTTTATATATGTACTGTTATGGTGCCTCGGTATGAGCTTGAGCCTCAGGACCGATGGCTAGGGAGCGTATATGCATCGGGATGTGTTGCTGGCTACGATGGTTGGAGGTGTACCCTGTTTAGGTATAGGTACATATGCCCACTTCGTGTGCGTTTTAGCATGTTACCTCTATTCAGGTTGAGACCGACCTGTAGTCCAGTGAGAGTCCTTTAGTGTGACTGTATATATATTTACGGACTATCAGCTATTGTTGAATTATTTAGTATGTACATGCGTATCGGGCCTCTGTTTGGATTATAGTAGTATAGAACTTGTGCGTGGGCCTGACCCACTTCTATTTTTTTCAGGTACACGACAGTTCCAGGCTTAGACGTGTTCGTGCTGAGCAGAGGTCTCTATTCACTCTTGTGATGATGTAGGGCTCTCTCTATAGTTTTATTTCTGGACGTTTATTACAGTTGTTCTATCTTCCGTTTGGATGTTTAATAGGGGTCCACTAGAGATGGATTCCCAAGTTGTAAACTGATGGAGTTTTGGAGTTTGGGTTTGATGGATTTTAATAATTATAATATTTTGCAGTTCTATTTTTAGTTCCTTCCAGCTTTAATTTCATTTCTTAATTTATTTTGTATTCCGTGTTCATTATAAAATATTAATTGTTTGATATTCCCTCGGGTTTGGGCCTGGGCCTGATCAACCCGTGTCTCGGATCCGAGGGGTATCACAGTTGTAACCTCAAAAATTCCTATTATAAATGAGATGACAGATTTTTGGCTGAACTTTGCTTTAAAATTTTTATATTTTCCCATTGATTACACCTGCTCGTCAGTAACAACAATTAACTTCATATTTAGTTTTGGCAAGTTTTGGCATTCGGTTCATAGTGCCAGCTGCCATTAACTTTGCAGAGTGGTTGGCGCTCGGCTAGAATGCCACTTGCCACTATCACTTTTTATTTTTTGGCAAGTTTTTGGTGTTCGGCTCATAATACCAACTGCCACTTACTTTGCAGAGTGGTTGGCGCTCTGTTAGAATACCACTTGCCACTGTCACTCTTTATTTTTTGGCAAGTTTTTGGCGTTCGGCTCATAGTGCCAGCTGCCACTTACTTTGCAGAGTGGTTGGCACTCGGCTAGAATGCCACTTGCCACTGTTACTCTTTATTTTTTGGTAAGTTTTTGGCGTTCGGCTCATAGTGCCAGCTGCCACTTACTTTGCAGAGTGGTTGGCGCTCGGCTAGAATGCCACTTGCCACTGTCACTCTTTATTTTTGGCAAGTTTTTGGCGTTCGGCTCATAGTGCCAGTTGCCACTTACTTTGCAGAGTGGTTGACGCTCGGCTAGAATGCCACTTGCCACTGTCACCCTTTATTTTTTGGCAAGTTTTTGGCGTTCAGCTCATAGTGCCAGCTGCCACTTACTTTGCAGTTTTTCAAACATTCAATTTTTTAGAGGAAGATAGCTCTTTATAGATTTCAAAATTTCGTACATTCAAATGTACACAATTTGAAAATGAACAATGATAAAATTGGAACTCGACTTTCTATTGATAATACTTTTTCAGAGATGTAGCATTCCATGGCTTGTTGACCAGCCTTCCAACCATGGTCTCTAAGGTGTAAGCTCCCTTTTCTATGACTTTTGCAACTCTATATGGGCCTTCCCAAGGTGCCACCATTTTTTTAACCATTCCTATCTTCCTCTTCAGAACCAGATCACCTGGTGCAAAGTCTCTGTGCTTTATCTTTTTGTTATGGCTATTCATAAGTGTCTGCTAGTAGGATGCGAGCTTTACTACCGCCGCATCTCTCTTTTCCTCCAACGTATCGAGGTTAAACCTCAACATACTGTCGTTATGCTCTCGGCTCCATGCTAAGCTTCGAATAGTCGGAACCAAATGCTCGACCGGTATAACTGCCTCGGTACCATACGCCATGGCGAATGGGCTCTCTCCTGTCGGTCGTCTTGGGGTCGTTCTATAAGCCCATAAGACGGTCGGCAGTTCATCTAACCATTTTCCTTTTTGATCCTCAAGCTTCTTCTTGATGCAAGTAAAGATTGTTCTATTTGTGATTTCTGTTTGTCCATTAGCCTGGGGGTGACTTACTGCTGCCAGCTTTTGATTAATTCCATACTCCTCCAACAACTCTTTTACTTGCTTGCTGTCAAGGTTGGTCCCATTATCAATGACGATTGACCTCGGAACGCCAAAACGGCAAATAATATTACTCCAAATAAAGCGTCTCATATGAGTCTAAGTCACTCTCGGATATGGTTCTGCTTCCACCCACTTAGTGAAGTAATCTGTTGCCAGCAGCACATATTTGTTCTGAGCTCCTGCAGTTGGCAGATGACCAATCACGTCCATCCCCCATTGTGCGAAAGGCCATGGTGTGGCCATTACGTACAATTCCTCAGGTGGTTGGTGGATCAATAATTCGTATCTTTGGCATTTATCACACCTTCTAGAGAACTATTCCGCATCTCTTGACATGTTCGGCCAGAAGTACCCCTATGTCATTGCTTTGTGCGCTAAAGATCTTCCTCCGGAATGATTTCCACATACACCTTTATGAATAGCTCGTAATATCTGCCGAGCCTCTGTGGGGGTGACACATTTCAAGTATGGCCCTGAAAAAGATCTTCTGTACAACTGGTTATGCATTATGGCATACTTTGCAGCATTTGATTTGACCTTCCTAGCCTCTTCCCATTGCTCGGGCAAAATACCATCCCGAATGTAAGTTATGATTGGATCAATCCAACTTGGCTCATACGGTATGACATTTACTTACCAAGGATCGGAGCCTGTAGGTTCTTCGAAGATGGATGGCTGGCTCAGTATACCTATTGGAATCACCCTCGCCAATGTCTTCCCAGAACTCAAAGCACTGCATGCTAACCGATCGGCATCGTCGTTATGCTTTCTCAGCAACCGGATGAATTCAATTTTCTCAAAGCCTTTAGCTACACGCAACATGGCGGAACGATATGCTTCCATCGTTTCGTCCTTGGTTTCGTACTCACCATTCACCTGACGGACAATCAACTGTGAGTCACTAAAAGCAGTTAAGTTGCTGACCCTCAGCTCTTTGGCCAACTTTAGTCCATTGAGCAACGCCTCGTATTCTGCTTCATTATTAGTAGCTCGGAATTCAAGTCTAAGCGCTTAACTCAAAGACGTGCCCTCTGGCGTTTGTAATTTGATCCCAATACCTGCCCCTATTTGGTTGGAAGAGCCATCTACATAGAGCTTCCATGGGTACCTTCTAAGGTCTTTCTTTGCATCTTCTGAATCGCACTCTAGCAAAAAATCAGCCACCACTTGTCTTTTAATAACTATTCTGGGCTCATATGTTATGTCAAATGAGCTTAACTCTATGGCCCATTTCGTCATTCTCCCCGAGAGGTCCGGCTTGTGCATGGGCACTCTGATAGTTGTCAGAACGACTATAGGATGGGACTCGAAATAATGCTGCAGCTTTCTCTTGGCATTAACGAGCGAAAGTATTACCCGTTCGGCCTTCGAATATCTACATTCAACCTCGGTCATTGTTTTATTAACATAAAACACCGGGTACTGCACTATTTCCTTGCAACGAATCAAAACGGCACTTGTTGCAATACTAGATACCCCAAGATATAAAAATAGTTTCTCTCCTGGATCAGGAGCAGACATGATTGGTGGATTCTACATATACTCTTTTAATTGAGTCAGTGCTTGTCGCTGTTCATCCCCCTAAACCTGTCTCCTATGGCTCCATATAGTGTCGAAGAATGGCTTACAACGATTTGACAGCTTTGAGATGAACCGGTTTAATGCAGCTATTCGACCCGTGAGAGCTTACACTTCTTTGATTGTCTTCGGTTCCACATTTGTGATTAAAGCTTCTGCCTGAGCTGGGCTAGCCTCTATTCCTCTGTGGTTAACTACATGTCCTAGGAATTGTCCAGAACTCATGCCGAATGAACACTTGTTTGGATTAAGCCTCATTCCATATCTTCTTAGCACATCAAACACATCTTAGAGATGTTTTAGATGATCAATTTTCTTCTTACTCTTCACCACCATGTCATCAATATAAGCCTCCACAGTTTTTCCCATCTGATCTTTAAAAATCTTGTTGATCAGCCTCTGGTAGGTTACTCTTGCATTCTTTAGTCCGAACAACATGACTTTGTAGCAGTAAGTCCCTCGTTCAGTAACAAAAAAAGTTTTCTCTTCATCAGCGGGGTTCATGGGGATTTGATTGTAACCTGAATAAACATCCAGGAAAGTTAAACGCTTGTACCCTGTGGTAGCATCTACCATTTGATCAATCTTTAGCAGCGGGAAGCTATCCTTCGGACAGCCTTTGTTTAAATTGGTGAAGTCAATACATACTCGCCATTTGCCATTTTTCTTTGGCACAACGACAACATTTGAGAGCCAGTCTGGGTACTTTACTTCCCGAATGAACATTGCATCAAGTAACCTATCAACCTCTTCGGCTATAATCTGATTGCGTTCTGGAGCGAACCTTTTCTGCTTCTGCCTTACAGGTTTCACGGTCGGATTAACGTTAAGGGAATGACAGGATACATAAGGACTAATTCCAGGCATGTCTAAGTGACTCCATGCGAACACATCAGCATTGTGAGACAAAAAATCAACTAGCTCCTGTTTTTCTTCCTCGGCAAGTCTTATTCCCACTCTGGTTATTCGCTCTGGCCTGTTATGGTAGATCTGCACATCAGCAGGGGGCTCTTCAGTCAAGTCCATAGGCTCCTCCTCCCCATTCTGTGTGGGTGGAGGTTCCTGTAATTGCTATCTGGAGCTTGCCGAGCGAATAGGTGATTTTCCTTTTCCAGCGGATTTCATCGTCACAGAATAACACTCCTTAGCTGCAACCTGGTCCCCATAAATGTCAATTACCTTATTTTCATCAGGCCCTAGGCACCTCATTACCTGGTGCAGAGTTGAGGAAACACCCTGAACTCTGTGAATCCACCCTTTGCCCATCAGAAGGTTGTAAGATGAATGAATCTCAACAACCACAAAGCTCTCTATCAGAACCCTTTCTGCAGCCTGCACTGCAACTTCTACCATACTGATGGGTTCAACCCATTTTCTATCGAACCCTAGCAAGGGATTTGTAGTGGGCTTGAGCCTCTCGGGTTTTATTTCGAGCCGATTGAACGTGTCCCTCGGCATAACATTCGCACTACTCCCAGGATCAACCAGGACTCGTCGTACCAGGCATTCTGCTACTGTCAAACTGACGACTAACGGATCCTCGTGAGGAATTTGAACACGTAATAGGTCGGTTCTGCCAAACTTGATCTGTGTTGATACACTCTGCTGGTGCAGAGTGTTTACACTGCCTATCCTCCTCTTCATCTGTGCCTGGCGAAGGCGTGTTCGAAGCAGTTCATCTGACTCCTCAGTAGGTTCAGGCCGACTGTGAATTGCATTGATTATTCGAACTGGTTGCGAGTTATGGGAGCTCGACTTCTGATTCCTCTTCACTTGCTCCATCGGTCGGTTCTGTTCTACCGCCGGGCCTTGAATATAACTTGCGAACTCCCCTCTGGCTACCAGCATCTCTACCTATCTCCTTAAGTTCCTGCATTCATTAGTCTGATGGCCAAAGTCAGAATGGAATGCACAATGCTTAGATTGGTCCCTCTGCTCAAGGGGCTGTCTGATTGGTAAAGGAGATCGGAACTTATCTTTATTTTCTTGGTACAACCTTGCTAAGGTGACTTTCAATGGAGTAACCAGCTCTTCCTCCTTGGGCCTCTTCTTAGATTTCCAGGAGGTCTGACGCTGTGGCTGAACCTGCTTTTGCCTGATCTTTGCTTTGGTTTTCTCTTTTATTGATATGATGGATATCTTCCGAGCGTTAGTTGCCTCTTCTTCTTCCAAGCGCACAAAACCATCAGCTCTTTTATTGAGTTCATCCATAGTCTTCGGCGTATTCACTACCAAGCTTATGTGGAATGGAGTGCCACGAGTCATAGCCAATTTAAACGCTTGAACCGCCGTAGAAGGATGACATTCAATCACCATGCTCTTAGTAAGGTTAAACCTGGTAAGAAAAGCTTGGAGACGCTCGTCCTCATGCTGCTTCATTGTGAATAGGCTCGAAATGTCCTTTGCTGGACATTTATTTCCATAGTACTGGCTTATGAACCGATCACATAAGTTTCGAAAACTATCCACTGAGCCCCTCGGCAGGTTCTTGAACCAATTGAGCACTGGTCCAGCTAGACTCGTAGGGCAGCACTTGCACATCAAGGAATCCTTCTCAGTGTTCAAAGCTATTTTCAACTGGATGTGATATACATGATCAATCGGATCGGTTGTCCCGTCGAATAGAATGAAAACGGGCATGGAAAATTTCCTCGGACTCGGAGCATTCAGAATTTCGTCGGTAAACGGCGAATCAACCGTTCGAGCTGCTGAGCGGAGGGCTTCATTCTCCTTCTGGAACTTCGCGGTAGCTCTCTGATCTATAGATCTCCTTTCTGAGCTTCGATTATCGAACGTTGCCATGGAAGGCAAATAAGACGGATTAAATAATCTTTCCTCCATCAACTCCTTGTGCCACAGCGGTATAGCTTTGTGGCGATCAAATTCCATTGTTTTTTCTTGGCTGAGCATTTCTTGATGCGGATAGAAAGTCATGGCTTCATTTCGCCTGATTTGTTTATGCCGTGGATCCACGTGAGTTGATCCTTCACGATCATCAACACGACGAGGATTTGGTGGCAAATCATTTGGCCGGACTTCCTCGTGATGAGGTCTGTCTGATTGTTCCCTACCTCCTCACCCTTGATGTGCTGCACCGGGGTGAAGAACTTCTTCTCCTGCCGGGAGCGGTTATGAAATCACCGGAGCTTCTTGACGTTGCATTTCCATTCTTAGTTCTGCATTCTCTCTCTTGAGAGCTTCTATCATGCTTATCAACTCATCAAGTTTCATCTGCTGGACATTCTCTACTGTATTGGAGTTCTCACCCCCAGTCATCATTCCGGAATGGAGCAAATGCATGAATCACAAATTCTAAATCAGATTTGATTTTCACTAACGCGAATCACGTCAGATCTGGACTCAAATTTTATGAATTATGTTCTCCCTTTGATAGATCAGAGCTTTTCTGGCTTTGAACTTGTCAGATCGAGCCACGATAGAATGAATCACCACTGCGTAAATCTAACGCCAATTTCTTAAAATCAATCAGGAATCAAGAACTTCTCCAGAGCAAACCGCAATCTCTCAGATCTGGATTCAACTTCCAGAAATCAAGCTTCGTCTTCACGAATCAGTCTGAATCAACATGATGTTGATCAAACAAGAATCAATCTTCAACGTTTCCCACAGATGGCGCTAATTGTATATGCCAGAGAAATATTTCTCTCGATCTCTCTAACATTTCATTACACATTTTTTCTCTCCCCTTTTCCTCTCTCTTCTATGCCTATTTATAGGCAATTACAAGTGTTATAACTAACTCTTATGTTGGACTTTCAGTCTTCGGGCCTTCTTCCTTTTGGGCTTGACTCGATCCGGTGGATTTCCGGTGTTGAGCCTGTGGTATTAGTCTCCAAGCTTGGGCTGGAACTTGCTGCCCAACCCGATGCTCTCCTCTTGGGTTAGACCCGGCCCACTCTCCCTTCGGTATCCTCAATTACATATAATCCTATATATATAAAATCTGAACGAACTTAGTGATGGGAAGAAGCAATTACATATAATCCTGTATATATATATATATATATGTATATATATAATAACATATACATATGTGGAAAAAGAAAAAATACCATAGCACAGCACAGCACAGCATAGCTAGTTGATGAGGATCGCAGACAAGACCAAAGCAGGAAAAGGAAAGATGTTAAGAGGCTTTAATTTTGTTGATATGATTCAGCTGGTAGGAGATCAATAAAGTTAAAGTCAATCTCACACTTTTCTTTAATTAATCATCGTCGCTAATTCCTTAATCTATTGCAGGTAGTTTCCTAAGGTGATTATTAGTGTATTAATTTTAATGAATACATACATATGGGGTTTACGTTTCGTCCTATATAAGCTAAAATTTAATAGCGTATATTTTAAGCTATACATATATATTGTATATCATGATCATACAATATTATCTACCATGCTTATCGATCTAGCTACTTCCGAATACTCATCTTTTACAACCGTATGTGTTCCTAATCTTCCCATGTCTCATCTCATACATGATAAGTTTAAGTAAAGATAAGTATTAGGAAGTAGTGGTAGTGGTGGTAGTAGTAGATCAGTTTGGTAAATTAATTAGATATTGTATGATCATTATATACGCTATAAATATAGCTTCAAATATAAGCTATATAAGTATATGTGTATGTATTCATTCAAATGAGTTATTTATTAATCACCTCAGAAAACAAATTCTCTCACCAAGGCAAATAATAATCAAGGGACGAAGTAATTAATTAGATATTGTGTACGATCATTATATACGCTATATATATAATTGTATATAGCTTCAAATATAAGCTATATATGGTATGTATTCATTCAAATAAGCTATTTATTAATCACCTCTGGAAACAAATTCCCTCGTGAAGGCAAATAATAATTAAGTCAAGGGACGAAGATTGAAGAAAAGTTTGACATTGAAAACGTTCAAGAATTTTAACTTTAGTGATCGATTTCAGGGTAGCTCCTTCCTTGATCATCATTAATAAAATTTAAGTCCTTCAACGTCATCACTTTCTCACTTTTTCTGCTGATTAAACCTCTATTAATCATTTAATCTCTGTCATCATCATCAAGCTGTACCATGGTATTTTTTCTTTTTCTGCGTGCGCATATATATATATATATATATATAGACTATATAGTATATTTTGTAAGATTATATATACATGCCTATTCTCTTCATTTAAGTAGTCAGATTATATTTATTATATGTTTGCATGCATGCCAAGGTATACACATTTTTTTTCCCCTAATTAATTCAGCCGGCTAATTAATTGATTCAGACTTTTCTTCAACTATATATTATTATTTATCAGCTTTTCGACCGACTCCATCATTATTTTCCAAAAGTACGCGTAGGATTATATATATTGGCTTCTTCTCTTTATTTAAGTACTCAAAATATATATAGGCTCCGTTTTGTTAGACGGAGATAGCAAGAAAGGAAAAAAAATGAAAAATGAAAAGAAAAGTGAAGTGAATGAAAAAAAAATTAATTTTCTAGTATGTATTTGGTTGCGATGAAAATTTCTACAAGAAAATTGTAAGAAAATATCATATTATAGTTTGAATACCTAAATTATCATTATTTTATAAAATAATAAAGAATTAGTTATAAAATATATTAAAAAAATGATAAAATTTTCAATTAATTTAGACATTTTGAAATACTATTATTCGTATATGATGAAAAACAATTAGGAATGGAAGTCTAAATTAAAAATTTATCAATGATAAAGTTGTTAGAGGACTCCAATTCTTTGAAACCAAGTAAAAAATTATTGTTGCTTCCAAATATAAAATAAAGTTGTGTCGGGTAAAAAAGGAACACTAAATAAAAAATATGCTTTTACGAGAAAATAAAATTTTGTTTTGTGAAGGAAACATTTTGGAGAAAATAAAGGGTTACAAGAATTCTAATTTTCTAGAATTTTTCCTTTTCTATCTAACCAAACTATAAAAAAGTTCTAAATTTTAATGTTTCCTTTCTTTTCTAGTTGATTTTTTCTAACCAAACGAAGCCATAGGGACAAGTGCGGAAAACATCCTTAAATAATATATTTCGTGTTGTACTTTTACCTTTTATTTGAAAAAGTGTGTAAAAAACACATCTAACCTTTTCACATTATGTAAAAATACCCCTCCTTACATAAATTAGTGATGTAATACCCATTTTATACTTTGACTCTTCCAAAATGCCAAGGGGTATATATATGAATTTGTAGATTTAAATTTGCTGAGATTTCAATTTACTGTTTTCTATTTTAAATTTTTATTTTTTATTTTTTGTACCAACACTTTTGACATTGAAGACGCTCGAGGGGATTTCAGGGCAGCTCCTTCCTTGATCATCCATCATCAATAAAATGAAAGTCCTTCAACATCATCACTTTCTCACCTTTTCATCTGATTAAACTCTCCATTAATCATTTAATCTCTTTCATCATCACCAAGCTATGCCATGGTATTTTTTCTTTTCTGCATATATAGACTATAGGATTATATATACAAGCCTATTCTCTTCATTAAAGTCGCCAGATTATATATATAATATGTTTGCATGCATGCCAAGGTATACACATTTTTTTTTTCTAATCAATTCATCCGGCTAATTAATTAAATCCTCAATTAATTGATTCAGACTTTTCTTCAATTATTATTATTTATCAGCTTTTCGATCGACTCCATCATTATTTTCAAAATGTCTAGGATTATAGATATTTGCATCTTCTCTTCATTATTATTATTATTATTATTTTTTTTTGGTTCCTGGCAAACAGAAACCATTACAAGAACCAAGAGTATACACCAAATAGACACCAACCAAACAGAACACACGTACATGGGATAGACCCGTAAGCATTAACGAAGCTAAAGCCACAACTAAGCAGGCCCATTTGGATTGGCATCGTCCTTAGAACTAGCTTCATCTTAGCCCAAACCACCTTTTGCATCTTGGTCAACACGCAAATACAGCCCAGCAACATGATGTCATTTGACAGACAGATGTCTGACAGCGGAATATATATCACGCAAGTCCCCCGTCATGATGAAACCCAAACGCCGGTAAACACAACAGCAACGTTGGTGAATTTTTGGGCAATTTATCCGGAATATCAATTTCATGGGCACAAACTTGGGAATTCTTGAGCAAATTATCCGATCCACTACCCAAGTTAGCACAATCACGGCTGTGAAAAGCACCAAAGGTTCCTTCAATCTTATGGCGAAAACTCCTACCGAGAAACATTGCTTAGTATCGCGATGTCCAACTTGCCCTCTTGTTCCAGCAACATCCAACATCGACCCATAGTCAATGGCGGCTGAAGAATAGGTAGAACAGACCTGAGCATAAAACCCACATACCGGAGAAAACAAGGAAATCTCCGCTGATCAAGGAAATCACCGCTGATCCAGCAGAATCGGGAACGCCAGTGTCCAGAGAGACCCTCCGCCAAGCACAAAAAGGATCAGAGATTGCAGGCATGGGGAGTCTGCCGTCCTTAGGACGAGGAACTACAACAGCCATCCAGCGTCCGAAATCCATGGCGATGGACGTAGGCTAGCTCATCATTGCCGATACTCGGAAAGAGGAAGGCCAACAGAGAGACCAAGAAACAAAACACCACAGATAGAAATTTAGTACATAAAAGGTAACCAATAAAACTATAAAAATGCCTGGATCAAAGAGAAAAAGCGACAAGGATGGCCACTAATCCATCCAGCAGTCAAAACACTTGATTGAACCACAAACTGCTCATCGGATCCCCTCCGACCAAAGACCACACAAGATCGGCGAACTAGAGAAAATGTGGAAGCCAACCCATAGAGATAAGTCCATGGAAACAATTCCATCTCTGATAAACAGAGAACCTCGACGTGATGAGGAATAACCCAATCTTAAGATTAATTCAACCCTCCGATTTGTGAGATGTTGGCGGCCGCCGCGGCGGCTATGGTTCTCAAGAAAGGGGAAAACCCTCGCGGGGAGAGAAAGGGTTGATATGCATCTTCTCTTCATTTAAGTTGTCAAATTATATTTATAATATATTTGCATGCATGCATGTCAAGGGTATACACATTTTTTTTAATCAATTCATCCGGCTAATTTGAGAAAAATAAATTCATTCGACTAATTAATTAACTCCTTAAATAATTGATTCAGACTTTTCTTTAATTATTATCGATGATTTTCAATTGTACCTATTCATATTACTTTTCTTATTTCATTGGTTATTTATTTGATTAATGCAAAGACAAAGACATTTTTTTTTTTTTTTTTTCAAAGTATTTCAAAAGTAAAACGTGAGAATTAAGCCAAAGAAGAGATTTCTTTTATAAAAAGGAACATAACCCATGCTCGGTTGGTTGTGAGACACCATCATTAGCGCAAACACGAACTGAACCACGAACTTGGTTGCCACCAATTCCAAAACCAGTTGCTACGAACCGATCTTGAGTATATATGGCTATCTAAGGGCTTGCACTTTGCGATCATCATCGGCAAAGTGGATGCTACCAAAACGAGCAATCGTCGTCAACCTGGATAAATCTAAACTTTGATACCAACTAATGGAACAAGTTACTTTGAATCCATAAAGTAGGGTACTTTGAATCCACAAAATAAGAGATAAGTTCATAAAGAATTCTGAAATATTATTGATAAAAAGTTAAATTTTGTTTTTGCAATGTATGAATATTTATAACAGAGAAAATCTAATAATAGAAGAAAACTAAAATCTAAAATTTCTCCAAATATTCTTAAAAAATAGAGAAAGAAACCTAATAAAATAAAATTACTAAATATAAAAGCTCAGAGTATTCGAACTTTGTTACGGCCTCGAACAAAAATCTTGAAATAATTCGCAGGCCTTTTATAACACAATAAAGTGTGATTTCGGTGGCCTAAACGAAGGTTAGCATGGCCCACAATCTAAAGCTAGTGGGTTTTTCTCAATGCGTCATTTTCACCCAAAAATACTATTAGTTTGTCGAAAACGGACTTGTTGAATTGTTTGTGGAATTGTGCAGAATTCAGTCCTACATCACTAGTACCATAAGAAAAATAATTTTTTAGAATACATTTTTTACCACGATTTTAAAATAACAGTGGTAGAAAATATATATAAGATTTTTTTTACCACGGTTAAGGAAACTTGTGATAGTAATTGTATTTTTTTACCTAATTGTACCGCTATTCGACTATTTCTACCCCGATTAATGAAAAATCGTGATACTAAGTTACGAGGCACCGTGGCAAAAAAAAGTGAATTTGGTGAAGGGTTGTACGCCGGTCTTATTCCCTTCCTTAAAATTTTAGGGCAAATCATTTTAGACCCCACACGCACACACCCGTACAGACCACACACGTATAATATTTAGGGCAAATCATTTCAGCCTCCCAAATCGCCTCCATCTCTATTCTCGTTCTCAACTCTGAACTTACCCTCTCTCTGTCTTTGCGACTGCAAACTGCAAACTGCAAACTGCAAAATCTACAAGAATCAGATTAGCCTCCCAAATGGCCTCCATCTCTATTCTCGTTCTCAACTCTGAACTTGCCCTCTCTCTGTCTCTGCAACTGCAAACTACAAAATCTACAAGAATCAGAACATATCGGCATATCATTTCAGATTGTTCAAAATATAAAAACCCATATCCTTCGGTTTCCATCGCCCGCTGTTCCAGTTTGGGTTCGCCGTTCCCAAGCTTCAGCCTCTGGCCCGCTGTCTCTCAACTCTCAAGCCCTCTCTCTGCAACTGCTAACTCGTATGTATGGGTTTTGTTTAATTTTTTATTTTTCTAAATCAATTAATCAATTTCTGTAATTCTTGTTTTGCAAACTAAATCCTCTTAAGTGAAATTTTTAGGGCAAATCATTTCAGCCTCCCCAATCGCCTCCATCTCTATTCTCGTTCTCGACTTTGAACTTGCCCTCTCTCTCTATCTCTGCAACTGCAAACTACAAAAATCTACAAGAATCTGAACCCATATCGCCATATCATTTCAGATTGTTAAAAATATCAAAACCCATATCCTTCAGTTTCCATCGCCCGCTGTTCCAGTTTGGGTTCGCCGTTCGCAAGCTTCATCCTCTGGCCCGCTGTCTCTCAACTTTCAAGCCCTCCCTCTGCAACTGCTAACTTGTATGTATGGGTTTTGCTTTAATTTTTTTATTTTTAATTTATTTATTTTTCTAAATCAATGAATCAAGTTCGGTAATTCTTGTTTTGCAAACTAAATCCTATTTAGTGAAATTTTTAGTTGTAATTTATTTTTTCTTTGTCTACTCTTCTTGTGAAGTAGCTAATTATTGAGGAGTTATTTGATTTTATTTCTGAATTAAAACTTGTATGATTATTTGGTTTGATTTGGATAGTGCATTCTTTTTGGTCAGTGATATTTTTTTATTTCACTTTTGCAGTTAGAATCAAATCTTTGTATTGCTAACCTTATATTTTTATTGATGTTGCTATGAAAATCATTTATTATTTTAGAATCTTCAACTTGTTAGTGAAAAAATATTGTACTGAAATTCCTTTTCTCAATCATATCTGGATTACTGGTGTAAGAAATTGACAAAACATTGTTGTCTTGTTTCCTTCTAGAAAGCTCTAGGCCTGCTTTTGTATCTGGTCTTTCTGTGAAGTTCTATGATATATCATTTGTTGCTTCAATTTTATATGTGCAAATAGAAACATGGTTCTGGTATTGCAATGTGATAAAAAGATTGTTGGTTCTGGATATCTATTGCAATTTGATATAAAGATTGTATGTCCTGGATATATATTGCAATCTAATATAAAGATTGTGGGTGGTCTTTTAGTTCATTTTTATTAAAACATTCTGAAATGTGCCCCGAACTGGTCTTTTTATCTTTCTTTGCTCTTGTAAATTGAATTTCACTGTCTTTTGCTCATTATTTTTACTTTCTAAATCATTTATCTGTCCATGGGGAGGATTTATTGTTATGACTCATGGTTCAAAAATCAACATACTGCTAGCTGATCTCTGATGCTTCAGATGGACTACTTGTTATCTAGCATATTTTAAGATGTTGCATTTAATAGGATCGCAAGAGAGAACATAAATAAAGCCAAAGAAAGTCGCAGTCAAATTTCTTGCTAGCCAATGTTTAAGAGAGAGTTCCCTTTAAAAAAAATTCTCAAGAGAGTGTAAAATTAAGATAGTTGTGCAGCATTTTTCTGCAAAATTAGTGAAGAAATGGCCAGCTGGCAGATTAGCAGTATTGTGCTAGTAATTTGTCTGTTTTGAGACCTATATTGCCACTTGGAAAGTGAAACTAACATGTTGACGAGCCAATTTCTGGTTCCAAGCTACCATTGTAATAATATTAATAATACCATTGTAACATGCTGAAGGGTTTACTAAATAGGAACATACTGGCTGCTTTTACCATTGATCTTTTGCAGTTTCTGTTTATAATTTTTTAATACTGAGATAATGAGTTTGGCTAATTTCACTTTCATGCACCATGCAGGTAATGATTCACACCTGCCATTACATGGTTCTGCACAAATTATGAACCATCTTATTGATGCTATCCTGGTAATATCAGGCTCTTTGATTTAGCAGATTTGATTTAAGTTCTAGCAATCTGATTGTAACACTGGTTACAGGAAATGGTGTCATTTCAACCCAAGTTCATACACCTTTTGGCACTACAATTTTCCAAATAATTTTCATTTTGGTCCCAATTATCTTTCAGTTAACACTGGGAATGGTATCATTAAAACTCACTCTAAGTTCATTCTCCTTTTGGCACTAGAATTATCTACATAATGTGCATTTTGGTCCGAGCTCTCTTTGAGGTACACGACATAGTTTGACTGGTCGTTCTTTCTTTCTCTTTTTTTCATTCCATCTGAGGTGATATCTTCATTTGGTATTGGTTTAAATGGTATACTAATTTTATAATTCCTGTTGTCTAATTTGTAATCACTAGAATAAGCATAATTCACTAAGGAATGCTTGTCTTTTCTTTTTTCTTTCGATTTGTATGGCTGTCACACAGCTTTGTTATAGGAGTGCCATGTAAACATGTGCCGCTGGCAATGTTAGTGAGGATGAACGTATAGCAGTGTTGTTCTATCCATTGAGAAAAAGAGAAAGAAAAGGTTAATAAAATGAGAAAACCCGTTCCATGTTTATCTAATTGTTTAATGTTTATTTAAATAAAATATAAATTTATTAATGGCTAGCTCTGTACCTGTTCACCCTTCACATTGTAGTATATATATGTACCTGTTTATTCCAGATCTGGAGGGTCTAAGTTATGTGACAACACTCTGAACTTCAGCTCTGCCTTCATTCTCATTGTAGTATATATATGGTCTGTAATTCTTGTTTTGCAAACTAAATCCTATTTAGTGAAATTTTTTATGAAATTTTTTTATTATTTTATGAATTTTATTTATAAATATTTGTGAAGATAATGACTGAAACAGGATCTCCCTTTACAAGATTTGAAAGACTAAGTGGTGCTACTCAGGATAATCAATGGATAAAGGCTGGATGAACCTTAATATAGGCTTGAAATTCGTTGCTTTGATTTGAAAGACGCATTTGTTAAAGCACTTCCAATTGCATGGCCTATCAAGCACATCAAAATTTGTAAGTTATATGGTCTTTATATATGTTCGATAAAATTCTTTTATGATTGCACATTTTTAATGCTTTTTATACTCATGCTTAGGGGGGTCACGTGCCTTTAAGTGTCCAATTTTGCGGTGTATAGGGGGTCACGTGCCTTAAGTGACCAATTTTGCGGTGTATAGGGAGTCACGTGCCTTTAGTGACCAATTTTTTTTTAATTATTGTACATCATTGAGTTTACTATATAAAAACACATGCATCAAACTATATAAATAGGATCACTACAAACATATGAACTCAACAATCCTTCAACTATGTATTGCAAATTCCTGTATTTTCATTTTACTTGGACTCTCTGACTTCTCGATGTGTTCAAAATGAAGGAACTAGTTTAGGCTTCATTGTCAGACATACTATAGCTCTTGCTGATTTTAGAAGAGTAGAATGCATGCACCCAAGACAACTTATCATTATTAAAAATTACATCGTTTCTTTGGGGGTAGGGATTGACTACTAATTTCATTTAAGAACTGTTCTATTTATTACTTCAACTATTACATCTTTGTAAGTCAAAGCTAGGATTGCGGGATTGCGGTTGCCGTTACTTTTTTTGTATGGCTCATGAAGAAGTTGCATATATGGAAAGAGAGAGACTAAAATAGAGCAAGAAGATATGAATAATTTTTGTTTTGGTTTAGTTAAGTAAAGATATAAGGTGTGGATCATGCATGTACTTCTTTCAAATTTGTATATGGTTAATTTTTGTATAAAACCATGATTTGAAATTAGTTATATATATATATATATATATATTTATACACACACACACGATGTTATTCGCCAGTAAGTTATTTTAGTTATGATGTTATTTTTTTATTTGTTTAGGGTTTGCTTCTGGGGTCCTTGCAAGGTTAGTAGTAGGGAAAAAAAAAAAGGCCTCATAGGGGTTACAGTACTTTTTTTAAAAACAAAAATTATATCACTTTCTATCACGGTTTTGCACCGTGGTAGAAAGTCTGTCTTTGTTCAACGGTTCCGCACCGTGGTAGAAAATAAACTTTCTACCACGGTGCGGAACCATGGTAGAAAGTCTCTACTTACTACCACAGCCGTTTCCACCATGGTAGAAAGTGTTTTCCACTCTGGTAAAAAGCGTTTTCAACATCTAGAACACATCAACAAGTCTCAGCGAAGGTTCATAGCTTGGTGGTAGGTGGTATGGTAAAATGGTGAGATGGTTCTCAATGGATAGAGAAGAATTAGTTGGTGCAATCTTGTTCAAAGGAGTTGGGAAGATTCCATTCCTTTTGCAAAAGGGCTCGGCTTATTTAAGAAAATAAATTGAATTTATAGTCAAAATTTGTTCAAACTTGTTTTCGAGCGTGCCAACTCGTTTAGTAAATTATTGTATATTTATCTTGTACTTTCAAAAATTAAAAAATTTCATTAAAAAATAAAAATAAATGTAAACGATCCCTAAAACAAGTTTACCGTTCATGAACATAAATGAGTTTACACAAGCCGAGCCCAACATTGCTCAGGATTGGCTCATTTACTAAATGAGCTTAGAAATCAAGTTCGAGCTCGGCTCATTTGTTTAACAAACGAGCCCGATTTGAGCCCTATAACGAGTCTACAGTTCTTAAACATAAACGAGCTTACACGAGTTCATATTCACGAGCCGAGCCAAGTGATGCTCGAGATCGGGTCGTTTACTAAACGAGCTTAGAAATTGAGCTTGAGCTTGAGCTTGAGCTCGCCTCATTTGTTTGACGAACGAACCCGATTCGAGTCCTATAACGAGTTTACAGTTCATGAACATAAATGAGCTTATACGACCTGAACCCAACATTGCTCATGATCGGCTTGTTTACTAAACGAGCTTAGAAATTGAGTTCGAGCTCAGCTCATTTGTTTAACGAACGAGCCCGATCCGAGCCCTTGATTCATGTACAATCTAGCCTGTTATATTTGAAGACGTCCCTTGATTATAGTATATCTGAGCTTTCAAATATGTGTTTTTTTTTTTTTTTTTTTTTTCCTTTATATTTTGGGGAGTATTATTAATTAACCAAAATTATAAAAAAAAGGCAGATGGTGAGATGAATGAAACGATACAGATCATGGAGAAGGAAACAGTTGTAAAAGATAACTATTAGGAAGTAGTATTAGATAAGTTTGGTTGCTTAGCTTAGGTTAAATATTTATTTATTGTATGATCATTATATATTCTATAGAGTCCTGATCTCTTGCTCCCCATGGAGCATAAAAAATTAATCCACACTTTTTATATAGACTGTTAGATTAAATCTAACAGTCAATTTACAAACCCACCTATAATCTTTCCCTTTAACACAAAATCACTTTCACCTTATTTTTTTGTTTCTATAATTAATTTTACCATTACCACCTACTATAACAATAAAAGGTAATTATCAAAATTAAAATAGAAACCTTTGAAAAAAAATTAATTCCCGTAGCTTTACTTTTATTTGTCGTGGAAGAATTTACTTTAAGGCTTTGAGGATTAAATGTTTTTAAATTGGGTTAATTCCACATACACCCCCTGACGTTTGCCTATATTCTACTTGCACCCCCTCTACTTTTCATAATTCCACCTACCTCCCTTCACTATGATGACCGTTAACTATACTAACATAGTTATGTAATTTTACAATTTTGCGCATCAATGGTATATTACTAATATTTATAAAAATTTAGAGTTGAATGAAAAAGACTAAAATACCCTACTCATGGACAAATATATACACATTGCATACACATATACAAATATATACACATATACAGCAAGTACAGGTGATGCAGTTGCGGTGAGCATGCCATGGACAGATTGAACTTCGTGTATAGGTAATGCTGGTCAGATCCATTCGCTGAAGCTCGACGCCGATTGGGTCATGTTGGCTCAGAGCTTCTTCACAGACGGAGGAGTGTCACCGCCGTATAAAAGCTCAAAGAGCAACGGCTTCTGCCTCACATGACGAAGAGGACTTCACTTGCCGGAGCACCCGCTGATCGGTATCGTCGATTACAATTTATAATCAACCCTTTGCAATAGCACAAATCATTGTAAAATAGGGCTATTGGTCGGGTAAGTCGAACCACTGGGACTACTAGTTTATGGCAACTTAGGTGTCTAAAATCATTTTTAGAATGATAAAGGGGTAATGATGATTTGTTGGTTTGTCACTTAAGGTATGAATTGAGAAATGCATAAAACAGTAAATTGCAAGGAGTTTAGAAAGAAAAGATCTAGATAGAGAGGTCTAGAGAAGTGAATCCACTCCTACCCTTTACACATACATATGTGACCATGATACATAGCAACACATGATTACTACAATATCTTCAAGAAAATCAATTAATCACAAGGTAAGAATAACCTATCAAAGCTTCACATGCTTGAGTTACCTAGACTATGATGTAACTTTAGACATGCTCACTAAGCTAGGGATTATCAAACCCTCAATTAAATGGTAAAAGCACATGGAATCAAGATACAAGATTAACCCATCAAAAGAAAGTCTTAAGCTATGGATTAACAAATTTCTCAAAAACCATGCCATTAAAACCATTCCATAATCTTGTTTCCATTGCCATTATGAAAATACTAGCCATACAACCATGAGAATAAATAATCTAAGACAAGAACATTTGATTCAACATGATCATTTATAAATAAAAACATTCATTACAAATTGTAATATGCTCTAGATTATAGAACTTGGCCATACATACATTTCATTCCCCAAAATAAATCAAAAATTAAACATGCTTACAAGGAAGGGTTTCATTACCTCCCTAGATGGAGGTTTAGTAACCCATTAATGCTAAGAAGGAAGAGAATGAAGAAGAAAAAGACTTCATTGCTGCACCTTAACTCTAAGAACACAAAAACCTCTCCACCTTCTCTCTAGCTTTTTCAAAAAATGTCACTCCCCTTAAGAATAAGATGATCTTCCCCTCTATATCCATTCAAAACCTACTCCCCATACTCACAATCCCGAGCTCCCCCTCTGCATGAAGCTAGACCACACAAAAGAAGGATAAGGGAACCAAAAAACTGGAAATCAGAGGTAGTTGAATTGCCTTCCTGCAGTTCGTCGGGCACCCGCGAGGCACTGGAGAGCGCCCGCGGGGGCTTGCAATTTCGAAGAGAGCACTGGCCTATTTAGCGGGCGCCCGCGGGACCTCTGCGGGGCCTCGCCAAAATAGGCAGAGAGCTGAGGGGATTGGCGGGCGCCCGCGGTGGCGTGGCCACTGCATTATAAATCAAGGCTTCTCGTAAACCTTTCCGAGCCGGAGCGTTGACGCGGCTTCCACTATGAACACTAAGCCATGAACTTCACAAAAACGGCGACTGAAGAGGTTAGGTCCCGAAGATGACTCCCCGACACGGCGCACGTATTTCAACAGAAAGTTGTCAAAACTGCTTCTTTAATTACATTCGGGGAAGCTGACCTGAAAAAGCCAAAAGTACACAAATGAAGCTAAACTGCACATTAAACTCCACCAATGGACTTAACTAATGCAAGTA